TGTAAATTTTGATTAGTAATAATATATATATTTTCATATCGAATTAATTAGTAAAAATATGTACAACATAAAATGTTATAATATGATTTCCTGTATATATATATGTTTTGTTTCTTATATGATTGATTTCTTTATATAATATATATATAATGGTATTATAATTATTATAACAATTCGTTTGAATATTGGAATAACTTAGAAAAATAATCATTATTAGTATAAATGTTTACTCTAATTAAGTCAATAATTTTATAGATATTATTTAATGGATTTATTTTAGATTTAATTGATACTTTTATTAATTTGTTGTAGTAAATTGTCTACTAAATGTGTATTTTTATTAGAAATAATAAATATTTTTATATTTTTATATTTAATTGATTTCACTAAAATTTTAGATAAATATATTTATAATATTTTAAACTTTTATTATATTATATTATTTGATAATTGATAAAATGGATTTCCTTCCTTTATAAATATTCATGTGATCAATTTTTAATACTTTATCTGTAGAGAGTTTGAGCATCTTTTAAATTCATAAAATAAAATATAAAACAATTCTTGTGTAATCGAAATTATAATAAAGTTATGATAATAGGTATAAAACATGATGCTGATATTGCTATCATTATAATTTTGGTTATTGTAATTTTGAAAATGAATAGAAAATAGATAGAAAATAGAAAATAGAAAATAAAAAACAGAAAATAGAAATTTTGAAAAAAAATTTTGCAAAAAATGCAGAAAAATGTGAATATTTTGAATGTTAATAAACTGATCTAATTAGTTCCTTAGAAAGTTCTTCCGAAGATTCAATCAAATTTCGCTTTATTTTATTTATGCTGTATCGGTAATACAGGAACTACTGATTGTAAAATATTTTTCGCAAAATTTTGGATTTTATTTTTCATTAAAAATTCTATAAATAGGATTTCCTATATATAAATATTATTTTTATATAAAATGAAATAATTTGAAAAATTTTGGCCAAATTGAATGTTTTTTATGGAATGGATAAGTTTCCAGAATTTCAACATTTATAATGATATTATTAAAAAAATCTATTATATTATGCATACAGTTATTAGTAGCATGACAGTTATTAGTAGCGATAGACTATGATAATTATATTATGTACAGAGTATATAAAAAGTAAATATAAAATACATTATAGCATGATTTTATATCTCTGAGTCAATGAAGATCTATAAATAAAAGTGTATGCAAAAGTAATCTTGACTTCGAAATTTAAACTTAAATTTTTTCTTATTGTATTGTAGGAAAATAAGTAAGAATAAAAAGTTTGAAAAAAATCATGAGTTGCAACTCAATTGTTTTCTTTTAAAAAATCTTTTTAAAAAATTCTATTGGTTTTTAAATTCATTTTATTTATAATTTGTTTACATTCCTTACTTGAAGAAAAATAGCATTTATTATGTAAATATCTTTGATCTACTATATAGAATATCTCATTAAATATTATCACTTTGATTTATATTATTATTTTTAATGAGAAATGTTTTAATGGAATTAAATAGTTTCAAGAGTTTTAATATACTGGTATTATTAATTTTTTTGAGGATGCGATAAGGACATATAAGATCAATTTTTATTTTTTAAATAAAATCATATATTTTCTTATACATTTAATTCTTTTTTAATTTTTTACAAATAAAATATTAACCTATACATATTAAAAAATGATTAATTTAAAAGATATTTTGATGTAAATATTATTAAGAAAATTTCAATTATTCGCTTATTAATAACTATATTTATTTACTAATTTATAATATAAACAAACAATAATAACTATATTTATTTATTAATTTACAAAAAGGATTCAATGAAGTATGAGTATAATACTTGTCCGATTCCAGATTGTCTTTCAATTTCACCATAATTCAAAAATGGGTTTAGTATAACTATAGCTAAAAATAGAATTTCATTTAAATTGTTTGTTTTACAGAGAACTTCTCAAGCTATTGAAAATGTTTAAAAATTATTAAGAATTTGACAATATGCATAATTTTTATAGAAAATATCTCCATATATAATGCGTTCTATATAATATATTTTTTGTCTCAAAATAAATTGATAATATGTCTAATTTCTTTTTTTTTTTGTATTTCATTTTCACAATTATTCACAAAAAAATTAATTTATCACAGATGCTTCACGACAAATATTCTTTTCAAATATCTTTTATTTTCCTTTTCCTTTGACACACTTTACTATTGAGCAATAAAAAGAGAGAGAATACCGATCATGACTTGTTGATATAATCGTGAGCCCTTATGATATATGTCATTTGGCGTCTTAAAATAATGAAATATATGATGATCGATCTCTATATAGGTATCACAATAGATGTTATTGTTGTAATTGACCGAAAAATATAAACAAATTATAATTATAATTCTAATGCAAATTTAATATTTTTTTTAACAAAATTAAATTGTGATCTATGGTTCTTTTCTTCAATGAGTAAAATACAATGCAATAAAAGAAATTTGACTTCGAAATTCGAATTCAAGGTTACTTTTGCACACACTTGTATTTATAGAATCCATCGATCCAAAGATATAAAATCACATTGTGATATTTTTTACACTTATTTTTTATGTACCTATATATGTATAATATATTTTAAAATAGATTTTATACAAATATGATAAAATTATTATTATATTTATTTGACTAGTTAATAAAATATTTAAACAAACAAAAAAAAATCGCCTGTTTTCGATAAATTATCAATTTGAATATGAATATTAATTTTTAGAATATTAATTTTTTTTATTTTTTTGATATACTTAAGTAAATATATATATATATATCATGTTAATTGGTGGAATCAACAATTTTGCATTCGATATTTAATTAAAATATAGCATAAAATAATCTCTAATATATTATGATTTACATTCTCTAAATAACAATATAATCTATTATTTTTATAATTACATATTAAAAATACAAAGAAAAAAGTTATTTATTTTAGTAAGAAAATTGGTAGAATATCTGAATTTTTTGGATAATTTGTAGAATTTTTAATAATTAATCTTTCAGTAACACATGCTATTTTTTAAATTATCAAATAATATAAAATCTTTAAAATCCGATTCGTTTTCGCATATTTTTTATATATATATATATATATATATATATATATATATATATATATATATATATTATTAATTATATAATAATATAATAT